GTGGTCTTTCGTAATGTAATCAATTATGTACATTGTGGTCTTTCGTAATATAATCAAGTATGTACATCATAGTCTTTCGTAATATAATCAAGTATGTACATCGTAGTCTTTCGTAATGTAATCAACTTTGTACATTGTAGTCTTTCGTAATGTAATCAAGTATGTACATCGTGGTCTTTCGTAATGTAATCAACTTTGTACATCGTAGGCTTTTGTAATGTAATCAAGTATGTACATCATGGTCTTTTGTAATGTAATCAACTTTGTACATCGTAGACTTTTGTAATGTAATCAAGTATGTACATCATGGTCTTTTGTAATGTAATCAACTTTGTACATCGTAGGCTTTTGTAATGTAATCAACTTTGTACATTGTAGTCTTTTGTAGTGTACTCAAATATATATATATATATATCTAAATGTAACATACATGGACTTTTATACAGTTTTTACTGTTAAATTTTCTATCAAGATAGTTTTAAAGTGAAAAATCAAAACAGAATAACCCTAAAATAGCTTGAAGAGCACACTAACTAAACGTTTTAAAATGGCCTAATGTTTTGATAACTCATTATCAGAGGTTTGCCATTTCAGTATTACACAACTTAGATAAGTTAGGTGATATCGAGAAATGTCATGCTGGAGACAATATTATTATTATTTAACTTATAGAAACCCGTAAATAGATCTGACTACTTTTGAAAGCACTGTTTTTTGTTTTTTTTAATTAAGAACCCATGTTTCAAGAAACAACCGTTTATGTAACTGATACACTAAAAGCTAGCAACACCAGTAATTTGTACTAACTGCAGCAAGATTAGATTTTGTAAACTTTTTAAAACAGTGATTTATTTATTTAGTCATGATGAGTTTTACATAGTTTACTACTTTGAACTAATAACACTGTATATAATTGGTGGTTACTTAATGTACATTTTTTGATGTGTGTGTGTGTGTGATTGAGAAGAGTCTGAAATAATCAAATGTGTGTTTTTGTCTTTAGGTGAGTAGATGTCTGTCGAGGCTTGCAGATGTTCATAAGGTTGAGAATGTACACAAGCTATACGAATTTCACTCGAAACACCTACTCCAACATTTGGAAACATCCCATCAATTATGGACTGTACATAGTCCCGAATGGGCAGTTTTTCATACACTTCTTAGTAACGGAGGTCAGTAAGTTTTAGTGTTATATAATGTTTCTCAATGATTTAGAAAATGCAAAACTTTTATTTTGTTTAATATTATAATTGACAGTAGCCATGGGGTTTAATCTGTTGTTCTTAACTGTGGGAATACATGGCCACGAATAACAGACTATTGCTCGTGTTTTCAGGAACACATGCCTACAAAGAAGAGACTATTGTTCGTGTTTTCAGGAACACATGGCTACAAAGAAGAGACTATTGTTTGTGTTTTCAGGAACACATGGCTACAAAGAAGAGACTATTGTTCACGTTTTCAGGAACACATGCCTACAAAGAAGAGACTATTGTTCACGTTTTCAGGAATACATGGCCACAAAGAAGAGACTATTGTTCACGTTTTCAGGAATACATGGCTACAAAGAAGAGATTCTTCTTCTTTCCTGCAGAAAGATAGTTACGCTTTATAAGAATTACTTACATATGCTAATGCAGTAGAACATCAGTGCACACATGCGAGCCATAGCATCACAGATGACATGTTTGACACTTGTATATTCCCAGTTATCTGACAGTGCAATGACACTGTTGGTAGGCTCTTGAAGAAATGTTACAACCATTTTCTAGAAAGGATATTCGTAGAGCAAAAATCGGAGCAAAGAAAGATAAATCAAAGCACATGAGGATGTAAGGCCACTTCACCACAGGGCTGTGTTATGCATTAGGCCATTGCTTAACATACCAAAGTTTGAGGGGCACCATATTAGAAGAATGTGTCTGTTAGGTCACAGGCTGGTTTGAAGAACGTTTTTTTTATATATACAGTAATTATTGACTCCCACACATCTGAACATTAATTTTACTTTTATACAGACGTACTTTTCGCATACAAGAGATATATTGACAATGTGGATACAGATCTAAAATTTTTATTACTCATTGTGAAGAATGATCAAATAGTAAGATGTAGTGAAAGTATTAAAACATTTGTCAAAATTGCATAGAGGATAAGTATCGATAAAAGAATCAGCTTAATACTTTAAGTGAAATTGTGCCATTATGAACATGGGAAAAGTAAATAACGGTCAATCAGGGCATAGTACTATAATTTGATCTGTATTGCTCTACACACTCGACTGTCACTACCACTGTCCGAGTTTGCAGAATGATTGCTGACAAGTTGTAGAAAGATCTTACACTTGTAAAGCAACATAACCCGCAAGCTGCTTAACTGCCTCAATGATGAAACTCAAACACGAGAGCTGGATATAGGATTGCCACTTGAACAGCTTTAACATAAGAAACATTTTTGTTTGATCTTTACCATTAAAGTTTACAAACCAGTGATTCATCCAATACCATTTTCTAGCATTACTTGGGTAGGGAGAGCACATAATACAAATACAGTTGTAAATTAACTAATGCCAATTTGGAAGTATAATGATAGTTAATGTAGAAAACACAGTATACGTTTCAACACTACCTTAATTTGTCTTCGTATACACATAATTGGAGGTTTGTTTCAATTCTGGAATGGTTTTTGTGATTGATGTTTCTCACAGAATGGGAAATTTAAACTTTACATGGTGCACATGAAAGTAAGAGTGAATTATAGTTACTAAATCCTGTCACCAGGTGCATTATGAAATTTTTCCGATGCCAAAAAGTTATGGCTACCTCAGGATAAATCATTAAGTGACACTTGTAAGTCCAATTCAGCATTCTTACAAGCCACGGAGAGTAAAAATGATGTCCATGCTATCACCTTTTACATATTTGTGAATTTAATTGACTTCACACCAATGGGCTTTTGTGCATATCTTTGTTTAAATGTGTTTTTGGAAGTTAACGTCCACAGGCAGGGGGATGATCCATGATAAGTTTGTCATTTAAAACTATTCTATTTCTATAAACGTAAGTAAAATCACGACTTATATCTCCAGAACGTAACTTTATTAGCTCAATATTTCAATATTACAGCTTCGTCAGGAGCTATCGATATCCTACAAGGATATTACATTAAACAAAGTTAACAACAATAGGTTGATATAACACAAATTCTGGAATGAAGTCAAAGATCAGCATAAGACCTAAACATTGTTCTAATAAAGCATGGTTAACCATCCATATTGTTCTTATCCTCAAACCATGAAGGTGATAAGACAACCAAGCTTAAAAATATAAGTGTTACTGTGTTTTGTAACAGACTGTCCACAGCTGTTTTTTGGTGAATGCATTAAGGAACATCAGAATAAAAAGGTGTAAGACAAGTCTTTAGGTAAAGATTTATGGGATGCAGTGAAAAAAAAGTTTTCAATACTGACTTAGAAGGAAAACATTCAAATATCAAGAGTTTGTTAAAAACCTTTTTGTAAATGTTCCAATAGTTTGTGCAGTTTGTTTGTTCATTTCAGGTTAGTATGTCTAATACTTACTTTCAAGAATCAACATTTCTACAGCAGTTTTTTTTTTTACCCAATTTTGGTGTTTTCCTTAATAATGGATTTATGTAGCACCAGTTTCTAGCTTTTTCCCTCAACAGGACCTGCTTTAGAGAACCTTGCCGAAGAATGGATGCCCATGGTGTTAGCTAACCTGCATCCCAGTAAAGACCCCAGTCTTCGACTCAAGTTGTTCTCCCTTTCCTCCACCCTGTTCTCTGCTGGTCTGAACTCTCAAGGGTACCTTGCTGCACACTTGGAGACATTCTTGAAAGATGGAATCATGGCCAATCTCGTGTGGCGTGCTGGTAGGACAGAAAGTGCAATGAGGACAGCTACAGTTTCCTGTCTGTGGGCTTTAGTGCAAGCTGATAAGTTAGAATCTAAAACTGTTAGTATACATTTATTTAAGTCAAAATCTCATTTGTCTGTAGAGCACGTTATATGTTTTAATCTTGTACATCAGATTAGACCAGAAGGATCCTATTGTCGTTACACAGGTGAGAATTTTAGCATTTTTAAAAACCAAGAAACACCTTTCCAATCAGTCTTCTGTTTAACATATTTACTATCAAAGCCATAGAAGGAAAGCCTAAGATAAAATATATTTATATGAACCAAGTTTTACTATACGTAGATGCAAATTTTTAAATCTGGTACACTTTACTTTACCCGAAGTTTATATAAGTAGAACATTGAAAAGATTCACCGCAAGAGGTTTTGGAGATACAGAGAGTTCAGGTTTACTCTTAATACGAATAGATTTATCTGGCCAAACCTGTTGTTTTCTTACTGAAATTTCTGAGTATGTACAATATCTATATATTTTATATATCCAATTAAACAATACTTACTTATATAATAAGACACACTTTAGTGATTGTTGTGATCTTGAAGGTTAAACAGAAAAGTTTTGATATTGTGTATATAAATCTCCATTTTCTTTTTACTTTAATACGTTTGTTTTCATACCGTGATTATAAGTTTATGCTTTATAAAGCTTCAGACTGTTCACATTTTCAACTTGTGTTTAATAGACTTGTTTCCGATCTGTAGTAATGACACAAGGATGAGTCATTAAGTTTTAAAGTCACTGCTAGTGTGCAACATGATGGTCCTGGTTATGGACTACTGCTGTGTGCAAGGAAGCTTTATCCAGTATGCTGAGGGCGAAGTTCTTCAGTTCCATCGACAATGCCGAGGGCCTGCGTGAACAATAATTTCATACAGTATAGTAGTGTCAGCACGTTAGCCTGATAGTATGCGGAGTTTAACGTTTGATCATAGCTGTAGCCGTCATATATCTCTTACAAACAAACATATTTGCAACATGCTCCGTGCCATTTTTTTAAGTGTTGTATCACTGGCAGGATCATATTAAATCACCAGGGTCTGTTGTTGTCGTATGTTTGATCAAATGTGATAATTTACTTCTACTCAGTTGTGTGCTTTGAGAAAAGTTTATGTTGTGAAGACCTAAAACTTACATGAATTAGCTTATTTACAGTTCCAAGGATGGCTTGTTCTTGGGCTACTTATGCCTAATTTCCTTCCCTACCATTGGCACACGACTAGTAGCTGGTCACGGAGTAGGCTGTTTCCTCCATGCTTTCCATTGTTTTGCAAATAAAATTGAACACTACAGATTTACATTTTTCTCAAATGCTTAAATTTCGTGCATTATATGCTTTTATGCTAATAGATGGGAAGAACTTTGAAAAGTCCTGAAATGTAACCCGTAAATCATCATGCTTCAGTTGGGCTACAATACGAGGGTCTTTAATCTCTGTAGTCACATATGGGCAAGTGCAAGGGATGTAGGTTTGGGTATGCAAATAGTTACCAAAGATTGTGAACAACCCTACATAAAGCCAAACTGGTGGGCCTAAGGGTTATTGTAAATTACATTGTCCTAATATTTTCAGGTAGCTTCACAGCTTCCTCAGTTGCTGGCCCTGTTGATGTCGCTATTAGATGATGATTCTACGTCAACAAGACTCATCACGTGTAAGGTGCTGTCTCGAATACTTCCAGCCGTGGCTGCATCACTCGATGATCTTCAGAAACTCCACGAGCTCTACCCTGCTCTGCTCAAGCGAATGGACGATGTGCGAAATGATATCAGAATAGCTGCCATGAAAGTGTTTCCAGTGTACTTCCGAAGTTTTCCTTCAGGATATAATCCCACACTGTATGCTGCCCACATAAGAGAAATCTATCAGGGCTTGTTAGTACATTTAGATGACCCAGAGGTCAAGATACAAGACAATGTATTAGGTATGGATATGAAAAGTTGCTTAAAATTTGAATCGAAAATTAGGTTTCAAGAGAAGGTTGTATAATTACTTTTAACCTTTCTCCACCTGGTGGTTACTTTGGGCATAAACTGGTTTTAAAGCTTTTGCTAATACTACCAATTTTGAATATAATAAATTCTAAACACCACTGAAACATATGTTAAAATAAATCTTATAATAATAATTATACCTTTTTTGCTTTATCAAAGAGTACTTCACAAATTCATGCTAGTGCAGTCAAATGATAGCATCAAGTAATAAAGACACTTCTTAACCGAGTGGTTCAAAGGTTGATATTAAACAGTAGGAACCAATTAAAAAATAACCAAGTAGTAGTTGCTGGCAGAAGAAAGGTTATCAGAGGTTAACAAGTTCAGTCAAATACCGTTTAGTAGAACTTAGCTATAGGAATTAAACTATAAAAAATAACTCGTCATTAAAAAATTCATAACTTGTGCATCCTTTTGGAAAGTGAGTTTTAAAAATATTCAAGAAAACGGAGTGAAAACATGTAAATTGAAATGCTAGTTATGGCTAAATAAGATTTTTTAAACGTTAAAAAATCTTTAGAGTACCAAGTGGTTTGTAGGGTTAAAATTTTAACTCATTAAATCAACTTGTACTGTAAATACAGGTTTTTGTCGACGGACTGGATCTAGAGCATAAAACACATTACCCCAGAAAAAGCGTTCTAAATATAGTAATCTATACACGCGTCACAACTGTGTTCAGTTTTTTTAGTGTACCATTTCCAATATGGTGGTGTTTTTTCTTTTCTTTATTTTAGAGCTCCTGAAAGAAATCTCCACTGTATCATCTTCAGTTTTACTGATGGAAACGAAAAAAGCACAACCTATGCATCGGGATCCTTCTTACTGCAAAACACTAATAAAGTATTTAGAACACTTGCAACTCAACCAAGATGAGCCAAATTAAAACACAAAGCTTCAGGTAGAAAATACTGTAGTTTACATTGTCATATTTAATAAAACTAAGTTACAGAAAGTTTGTTGGTTACATTCATTATTTGTAAGTACATCTTATAACCTATGTTTAACAGAGAAATGTAGTAATCAAGACAGAAATAAACTAAGTTACATTCATTATTTGTAAGTACACCTTATAACCTACATTTAACAGAGAAATGTAGTAGTCAAGACAGAAAATAAAACTAAGTTACACCTTATAACCTATGTTTAACAGAGAAATGTAGTAGTCAAGACAGAAAATAAAACTAAGTTATATTCATTATTTGTAAGTACATCTTATAACCTACGTTTAACAGAGAAATGTAGTAGTCAAGACAGAAAATAAAACTAAGTTACATTCATTATTTGTAAGTACACCTTATAACCTACGTTTAACAGAGAAATGTAGTAATCAAGACAGAAAATAAAACTAAGTTACATTCATTATTTGTAATATTCATTATTTGTAAGTACACCTTATAACCTACATTTAACAGAGAAATGTAGTAGTCAAGACAGAAAATAAAACTAAGTTACATTCATTATTTGTGAGTACATCTTATAACCTACATTTAACAGAGAAATGTAGTAATCAAGACAGAAAATAAAACTAAGTTATATTCATTATTTGTAAATACACCTTATAACCTACGTTTAACAGAGAAATATAGTAATCACGACAAAAAATAAAACTAAACTAAAGATACTCTGGTTGCTACTCTGTGCAATGCACTAATGAAGAGTTTAAAGTTCTAAAATAATATAATTTAAGAGATGAGGGAAAAAAAAGTGTTGCATATTTATTTTCTTCAATCTGCATTGAACCAAAATCAAGTTAAATAAACTAAAAGTTGATGCACATTTTAAACTAATGTTACATTACACCAATTAAAAGTATTATTTCATGCTGTTAGGCCATGATACATGTAACTTACGAATGTTCCCGAGAAATAAAAGTTCCAAGAGAAAGACCCTACAAATCCAGTTTCTCAATGAACTGGTCACTTAAGAGTACCAGTATAGATATTTTCCAATTCACATTGGATATTTAAATGGTTTAAAAAATAAAAATTTAAACTTTAAAAAAGCATCTTGGTTACCGATGCTACCACGGCCTCCTAATGAAGTATCTTGGATTGTATAGTAAATTACGATTCATATCCACCAAATAAACATTAGTACAGCAAGTGAATAATTGTATCTTATTCCATAATGAACCACTGAAAGTTAAACTTAACATCAAAGAATAACGATAAAAAAAATTACAAAATTACTATTTTGATATTTATTTCAAACATCAAGCCTTGTTTAAAAAGTTAGTTAAATGAATTCAACCCTCTTAATGCTTTCTATTCAAAACAACGACAAACGCATGGCCAGTTAAGAAAAAACTGTCTTCCTGTCAAAAATGGCTAAACATAAGTGGTTAGAAAGAAAAAAAGTTTTTTTTTATTACCTTATTTTAGGTGTAATTGTAAAAGATGGGCATTACTGACTGCACAAAAGTAATAATAAAACAGATTGCTTGACTACTGTCGTAATGGGTATATTACACAGTGTATAAAAAAAAAACAGTTCGTTGTGATAGTGTTTTAGTAACTTCATCACCGAGATAAAAGCGAAGACACGTAAACATCTTATACGAAAAGCTTGCTTGTTGTTTTATAGAAAGGTGTGTAAAGTGCTTTGAAAAAATGTAACGGAAATATACGTCAACTTGTGTCAATTATACCACAAAACATTAAATATTTCTAACAAATAACCTTTAAAATTTTTTTTGAGGTAAGTTGAAAAGTATTTAGGCTTAATTAGCTTGGATAATTCTAGCTAATCAAATCTGATTAGCATTTTACCTCCATTAAAGATCGTAAAATTGAGAGCTACAGTTTTGTATAGTACAGAAGAAATGACAGATTCTCTTTTCTCCACAAATGCATCCTTTTGGTAAAAATACTTATTAAAATGTTTATTTACTGTAAAATGTTCTCTACAAATGGAATGATCACAATGAAGTGATGAAACAACAAAGTCAGCTCCTGAAATGGGGAAAAAAAAAAAAACTAATAGTGTCACCAAAGGAAAAAAAAAAAAATGTTGTAAATAACTGGTTGATGATGTTTCATACAAGCAGCTTTTCAATCTCTTGTTGTAAGACCTGGATCTGTGGCTTCAGCTGTGATCCTTCGTTGACGGTAACTGAACAAGCTATGACTGGTCGAGACACTCCACAAGCTCGGCCCAATGCTAGGAAGAAGATAATGAAAATTACTATAAACGAGCAAATGAATCTGTCCTCGGTGGTAGGAAAAGTTAAATATGTTGCTTTCACTCACAGCCAAATCCCTGAGCTACTTATACCGCCCACCATGAAAAGTAATTGTTGAACATTTCAATCATCACGCTAAGAGCCGCTCAACAATAACATACGGTAAATCTACATTTTTATTCTCTAAGTTACGTCACATTTTGTTATGTTAATGATAGTGTGATTAATTCCTAACAATTTATTGTAGAATATCCTGCTTGTGAAATAAAATTTGGCATCAACAATATTTATGTCTGCTTTCCCGTTATGTCAAAGGTGTATGTTGAGCTTTGCCTGCATGCACAGCTTTTCAAACACACCACGAGAAGTGGCCATCATAAACGGGAGACAGACACCATTGCTATATTACTTAAAGCATTTAATTTCTTGTAACAGAGTTTGCAGCATATTTATACCTCTTAAGCTTGTGGCACTGACAGAAATACTACAACTGTAACAAAAATGAAGCAACTGAGTTTTTCTCACAAACCGATTTGGAAAATAAATTATAATTCTGTGACCATTTAGCAATTTGTCTTTGGACAAATATAAAAAATAAGATATCAGAACAAATCACCATATCTTTTATGAGGCCATGTTGGAAAATTTACAACATACATTAAACAAAAACGGATTTAGTCAGCATTTTTATTCATTTGTTTACCCAAAACGTTCAACTTCATAAGCAAAAATACTGACAAAAAAACAACAACAAACAAACTGAGATTTAGTTCAAGTTTATAATACAAAAAAAAAAAAAAAGACCTATCACTCACCATGTTTGGACTTTACAAAGATGTATGGAACATTCTGGAAGAAGAAAAAGAAAAAAAAACACTCAAGATGTACATACAAGTTGTACCCAAAAAACTTATTACACACAAAAATATTATATCCTTACTTTCTGTTCTGTCTGTATTTAGAAAATATTAGGTGTTTTACTACAGCACAATTAATATGTGTACACAATCTCAAAGTCCCTATCTGGTGTAGGGCATTCTCGCTATTTAACTTATTCCAATCTTTCTTGGTAAAAACGTTTACATTTTTAATTACATCTTCCAAAATCAAATACTAATATTACGAACCTTTTTGCCACACAATATTGTGGGTTCTTAAATTTTCCTAACTCGGATTATGTTTGACATCGTGATTATGGACCCACCATCCAGTGTTTACTTTGTAAGGAATATTACTAGAATGTTTTCTATAGATTAGGCCCTCACGCAATAAGAAAAACTAAACAAAATATAAAGTATGAATTAGAAACATAAATAACACCCCTCCTGTAATTGATTCGATACTTGTAACTCGACCTACATTGCAGAAATGTTATAATTGACAAATTCCCCAAAACCAACGGCTCAATTCAAATGAAATTATCAACATTCCAGATGACTGTTCAAAATTAAACCCATGTAGGACCTGTTAGTTTATCCCCTGGATTCTTTCCAATTATATGACCAAACAATATCCATTTGCATTATTTTTGTACTTGTATCTATATTTCTTGTATGCTATTTGGACAGTTCTGTTCAACAGAGAAACATTAGGCTAGTTATTTCCAACAGAGCAACACTGGAGGTGTTGTTTGGCTAGTTATTTCTAACAGAGCAACACTGGAGATGTTATTTGGCTAGTAATTTCCAACAGAGCAACACTGGAGGTGTTGTTTGGCTAGTTATTTCTAACAGAGCAACA